ACCACAATTTTTGTATCCATTCCTCTGTTGAGGGACATCTGGGTTGTTTCCAGGTTCTGGCTATTACAAATAAAGCTGCTATAAACATGGTTGAACAAATGTCTTTGTTGTGCACTTGAGCATATTTTGGATACATGCCTAGGAGTGGTATAGCTGGATCTTGAGGAAGTACTATTCCTAATTGTCTGAGGAAGCTCCAGATTGATTTCCAAAGTGGTTGTACAAGTTTTCATTCCCATCAGCAGTGGAGGAGGGTTCCCCTTTCTCCACAACCTCTCCAGCATGTGTTGTCACTTGACTTTTTGATCTTAGCCATTCTGATGGGTGTAAGGTGAAATCTCAGGGTCATTTTGATTTGCATTTCCCTGATGACTAATGACGTTTTTAAGTGTTTCTTTAAGTGTTTCTCTGCCATTCTATATTAGTCTACAGAGAGTTCTCTGTTTAGTTCCGTACCCCATTTTTTAATTGGATTACTTGATTTGTTGCTTTTTAACTTCTTGAGTTCATTATATATACTGGATATTAGCCCTATGTCAGATAAAGGGTTGGTGAAGATTCTTTCCCAATTTGTAGGCTGATGTTTTCTTTTGATGATGGTATCCTTTGCTTTACAGAAGCTTTTCAGTTTCATGAGGTCCCATTTATTGATTGTTGCTCTTAGAGCCTGTGCTGTTGGTGTTCTGTTCAGGAAGTTGTCTCCTGTGCCAATATGTTCTAGGCTCTTCCCCACTTTTTCTTCTAACCGATTTAATGTATGACTGTTTCTTACATTTGATGAACAAGAGGTTTTTTGGGGGTACCCTCCTATTTCTTTCTTGTCTTTATGTTTCTAGCTAGCATACAGTAATTTTTCAAGGGGTTTCTAATGCATTTTCTTACATAGTGAGTTTTATTGATTAGCCTTTTTTATGCCTCCTTTTTCTGTTGGAACCAATTGTACTTATCAGTTCTTCTAACCATTTGGACGTTTATGCTTTCCTGATGCATTTTCTTTTCTTGTCTCCTTTTTTGAGTATTGTTCTTCTCATGTCACAAATCGTCTTCTAAGGTCATGCACTATATGAGTTAATTTCCTCATATTAACATGTAAATAAAATAAAATATGATTTTATATAAAAGAGTGAAACTTGGTAGTCATGTTTTGTTTATATAGTTTGTTTTTATTTATTAAAATGACTTCTGATTAATATGACTCCATATAAATATTATGATTTAGATATTCTTTATCCCTGAGTAAATTTTTTGCCTATATCATGTTTTTAACCATCAATTTTTAGAGAAATGAACAAAATAACTGTAATATTTTATCTTAGCATACATGATTATAGAACCTATAGTCAGGATCTTTGGAGTACTAAAAGTAGAATATGTATTGAGTATGATCTATATATGTGACAGAATT